ATACCTAGGCATATACTCATACATTCTAAGAGCCAGCTGAAAAAGAGTTTACGAAATTAGAGCAAGATTGAGGTGAGATATGGCAAAGGAACTCCCAAAGAAGGGTAGATAGTAAGCTGCAAATTATAGTCACATGTAGTGACCAAGTTTCTGCCCTTCAAAATTCACTGTCTCATCCATATCTCACCTCAATCTTGCTCTAATTTCATAAACTCTTTTTCAGCTGGCTCTTAGAATGTATGAGTATATGCCTAGGTATATATATTATTTTTACTTGATGTATTTATGTGACAGTGGACGATTTTCATGCTTTTTATGCAGATATCCTCCTTGCTTTAATACCATCTCACCCAAGCATCTATTCTCTAACCGTGACTACTAAAATATCAAGGTATACATATTGCACACCCATAGAGTCTACCTAGAGCATGTGATATGCACTATTCATGACAGGAGGACATAGTGACTGATGAGGTATGTGCTCCTCCTCCCCCTCCTCATATCTTTGCCCACATGTGCGGCACTCCATATTTAAATACATATATATACTAAAGCATAATACTATTAAGTATCTACCAAGTCAAATTGGCCATAAATGCATGTATGGTTCTTTAATAAAATATCTACTGTTGAGGGTCATGGGTCATACCCTCTCCCTTCAAACCACAAATGGCTCGAATAGAGGGCCCTAAAAATGCGCTATTGTAGTACCATTAAATTGAGCTACTAACCATAGTAATAGTTGCATTATTGGTGTGTGGAAGAGGGGTAGGAGGAGAGGTACATTAATCACCATGATACTGTATATCCTGCCACTCCCATAACCTGGATGGTGGCCTTCCCACTCATACATATGTCTATATTAAATACTCCAGATGCTTCCTGGGCTGGGGAATATGCCTAGGGCTGGGTATGGATGAGGGACTGTTATTCATATTATTGTTTTCACATTTTATACAGCTTATGGGGGTTTACAACAGTATATATGTTACATAACTTCATTAATAACTACATACATTGATACTAGCAAAAAAAATGGAGGGAAATGGACCGGAAATGGTGTGAACAGCAAGCTTGCTGTCCACAACAGTAATGAGAAGGGCAGGAGCAACAACTTAGTCAGTGCGCCATGGGACCCTGCCAATCTTAGTCAGCAAGGCATTTCTTCCCCGCTGACTAAGACTGGTGGGTCCCCACAGCCCGACTGTTAGTCAGCATGCAAGCAGAGCAGCCGGCATAGGCCTGGCACATGAGTTGAGTGTGCCAAGCCCCTCGCAAAGTCCTGGGGTCCAACACATTCCTGAAGAAAAATATAAAGATTCTTGAAGATTCTGGCTGGATGTCAAAGAAAGAATGAGAGGCTCACAGTGAAAATGGTAACAGAAAGTTGAAGAAACCTACCATATTGATCTGTGCCAAATGTTGAAGATTGGGATATTTCAGTGGAAATCTTTGACAAAAGTCAAAGAACGTCAACAAAAGTTGGAGATTGTTGACAAACATTGACGAAAGTTGACGATCGTCAACGAACGCCGACGATCTGGGACTTTTGGGTGACATATTCATTGCAGGGGGTGGTATTTACATGGTAAGCCCTATTTTTGTCCATGGTGGGCCGTTATATACTTGGGAGTTATTTGAGTTGCGCCAGTTGGACATCAAAAAGTCAGCCCTCAATCCTGCCGGAAGTCGCTCGGCACAATGGAGGGGCAACAAAAATTCAACATACTAATTGCTTTGATGTGACAGTACTAGTACCTCATGCCTCAATGACCGCTATGTTGTAGCCTACAGATCCTTGTCCCTACTTATATTTATGTCCATGATAGCCAGTCTTGATTTTGACAGCCGAGCCTGCAGTTTCTCGATCCGTGGAATCACCAATATTGAAAAATGAGGCCTTGAGATAGCGTTCTCTGTTAGAATAGAGGTGAAGTTAATAATTTATAATATCTCTGACAGAATTGCAACGGAACTTGCAACAGTTGGAGTTGGGTTGGAGTTGGACACGAGAACGTTGACATCCCTTTGTTTGGCATCGCTGTGTTTGTTTCAATAGGCAACCAAACAAATTGAGGTTTCTTTCCTCAATTTGTTTGGTCACCTATTGGAACAAACACGGTGATGCCAAATATTGAATGCCCACGTGACAGCATCCATCCATCGTCGCTGACGCGTTCAGTGTTCACCTTGACCTTCAACTTCAACATTGAACCTCTTCGTTGCTACCACCCCCAACCACCTGACCCGATCTCACTTTACACCTTCACGTGGGCCTCTACATGTCAAAAACCACCCATATGAGTGGGATATCTGTTCCGATCTTACTTTGATCATCTTATCGCAGCTGATGGTCACTCAATATCAGTCGGGATGTAAGTGCTTATTTCTCGAGTATATGCATTTTATCTGTGTCCAATGTACCAGTCACAGCATGAACACAATGAAGACAAACACACCAAAGACAAGTCGACTAGGAGCCGTCTTCCTGCCGCGTATCTCAAACAAACCCACCCACCCTCGCTGGATTGTAGAGAACTGCTGGCGGCTGTGGATGGGTGGTGCACTGGCTCTGTATGTACTTATGAGAACTGCACAGAAGGCTGAAGGTGTGTCTGCCTTCGAGTTTGCATCTGTGCTCTGCTTTCACTCACCCATGCCCCTATCTGCCTCCCCTACGAACGTCACCGATATCGACACCGACAACCGCGTCCCCCACTAATCCCCACACCGCGTCCCCTTTTCTGGATGTCGGGGCGCACCAGCTGCGAATGCAGGAAGGGAGCGGCGTTCTCCAACACCAAAACTTCGGCAGCTCTGTGGGTACCGGCCTTCTTTTGCCTCTCGCTTCTTCACTGACGCCTCCACGATCGCGGCGTACATTGGCGACCACCAAGCCAGCACGATTCTGACTTCCAGAACCTCCCTCCTGCCAACCAGGATCAGTCCTGGTGGCACTGGCATCTCCAGGAGTGAGCACAACCACCAGCTTGCTGCGATGCTCAATGCTGACTCGGTATTCTTCCAAACCGCCCACGCTATACATCAAGCTACGGCGGTACGTTACCGAGGCCCCTCATCTGGTCATTTGTACTTATACACAGTGATGCCGGGTGCTGGGACGAGCAGGTACTCATCAAAGTACTTAATTACATCCATGCTTCTGATGTCGGTTGAGTACAGGAAGATGGCACTGAGCCGTCGCCGTGCGACAATGTGCAGAAAGGATGCACAGGTGCTAATCAACTTGGAGCCAGCTGTGCGGCTGAGGGAAAGGAGCAGCAAGGAGGCGGAGCAACGGCAAAGGAGCAGGGAGAGCGCCGCGGGTGCGAGGAGTGTCTCGAAGATGAGCGGTAACCTACATATCTCGTGCTTGAGGGGTTGAGACTTACACTCCTGATTTTCTAGACAATGATCAATGCTTCCAGCTCAAGAGAATTCCCTGATCATTGGCATAATGCAACAGGCGCTTGTCAGATGATAGCAACATGGACCAAAGGGACTGGCCGCTACATCCAAAAATAACGCGCAAGACGACGTAGACCCACGCCGTAAGTGACGGCCGTTGCAGGTATGTCAGTCCATTGCTGCCTCCCATGGTTTATACCTCTGACAATGTTTCTAACCTGCTGGACATGGGGTGATGACAACTGACCTAACACTTTGTGAGCGGTTGGGTGTCAGGGAGGGTGAGGAGGGTGGCGGCGAGAGTACGAGAGCAAGAGACAGTGCCAATAGCTGATGGTCTGTCAAAATCGGTTTCAATATGTTGTGGATTGGCTGACCTGTTCATGTATGCACAGCACAGAGGATCGCGGCCATAACACAAGTAGGCAAGCACACCCCGACAAGTGTGGGCGGTGCCATTACCCTCACCCCCTATGACATATCTTATCGTTCATGTAGTAGATACAAGTAGATACTAATATCATGTGTTTGAAACTTGAAAACCAACTGGATCTGCCCTGAATCTCGACAGACCAAATGGCTGTCCTGATAACTCCCTCGAAACAGCTGCGTCACAGAGGCAGGAGAATAGCCTGCGCCAACGGACACATTTGCCCCCCAATGAGGGGTATTCGTGCAACTGATTTAACTGAAAAATCCCTGAATCAGGGGACTTAATTGCAGGATTCCTCCTGACTCAAGATACCCTTGTTTGAACTGAAATTACGGGTCACCCGAAAAAAATGAATTGGCTTCCCTCAGTGTCAGTCTTGTCTCTTGTCTTTCATTCTTGCTCTGATTCTTGTTGAGAGGCACAATGGCCTCCGAGTCGTCTGAATTATCCGTTGCTGGCCGTGTTTATCCATTATCCTTTGCCGTTTCACCACATCTCACACCATCACCTTCCCCTTCAGATTATACACGTGTAAGTAATATTATAGAGCCACACAATGGCGGAACTCATTCTCGCACCTCAGAGTCACTTGTTGGATATTTCATATCCATTTTACCACTCCACCAAGCCGATCGCCTGATGGATGTGAGCGGCCGAAGAAACTGAAAAAAAGGTTGTTTGCTCCCCAGTATACCAAAAAAAACGGACGGTGCGTATAGCACGTCCTCAAGCCCGCGGAACAGCTCATTGGCACATGTAATAAAACATATATAGCATTGTAATTACCGAAAACATGTGCTAATGGTCTATTACCCTTGTATTACCCTTGTGCACGACGTCGGCGACGTCGAGCGCTAAGGTTGTGCGTCGTGGGCAAGGCCGGCCCGATGAGGCACCTGACCACTCGGACCCCCCTCCATCAAGCTTTGAGTGAGGCTGAGACGAAAGGGGCAGGCTTGCGGTTTAGGAACACCGTAAACTTAGCCGTGCACGACGCGAAAAATGTCACGCTCGAAACATACTGGTATAGGCCAAATAAATCAGTCTGTGAGTTCATAACCCTTGCCATCGTCATACACGGTCTCTGAGGTACTACTACAAAATTGTGAAATGTCGTTCATACAGGATAAATATCGTGCTGCAGTGGTATTCTTAGCACTCAGTTCCGTATGACGGGCGTCAGTCTCAAAGGCATCTGGTTGCCTGCCTCAGGATCCGATTTGAGCGCAGGGCGTTGAACGACGTCCGACTTCTTCCCGATATCTTCCGCGGGTACAGCCAATTCAAACACGAATGCCCTCACAAGCGTGAACAAGAGCGCTTTTGTCCTACAAACAGCGAATTCAGTGGTGGGGAGAATACGAACATACGGGGACACGTACTCGACCAGAGAGAACCGGTAACCAATGCACGCCCGAGGACCACCGAGGAAAGTGAGCATGTTGCCCCACACCCCAGGAATTGCTGCGGCTGCGTCAGGAACCTTTTCCCACCTCTCAGGCCTTAAAAAACACTTAGTTAGTGATCTCCCGAACAATCCTCTACGAGAACATACTTGAACTCCTTTGCGTCCTCGCCCCAGATCGACTTCACTGTATTCATTACCAAGATGGGAATGTCCATTGTCTGGCCTTTCCGCACTCGTATCTCTCGCAGAACACTTCCGTCCCTCGCTGTGACTGGGATGCTAAGCGGGATCACGTCGTCCTCAACCGCGACCCGGATTGTGGCTGGAACGGGAGCGTGGAGACGCAGCGTCTCTCGAACAACCATGTCGAGATAGGGAAGAGCGTTGAGCTCGTCCATCGTCGGGTTGTCGGTCCCCACGGCGAGGAGCTCCTCTCGCAGCCTGTTTTGAACGTCAGGGCAAAGAGAGAGGGCGTAGAGCGCCCAGGTCGTCGCGGTACTACACCAACTATAAAAACCGAATTCCACAGGACATCGTTAGGTGTGAATGCGTACCTCGTCGTTTCGTGTCCAGCAACCAGGAAGGTAGGCACCTCTGGAGGAATCGCGTCAAACACGACTAAAGATATAAGGAACGACGCCTACGAGACAGAACTTCGTCGTCTGTCATTCTTTGGCTTGCAGGTACGTCTGTCGCCATATTTGCCCTAACCAACAACGAAAGCAAATCCCTCTTCCATGACGTTACGACTTTCCCATTCTCCATATAGACGCCGGCCTTGCTTTCTTGCAATAGCTCAGCTCCGATGCGCGCCATGGTTTCGCTCGCGATCTTGTGTTCGGCATCCAGTTCGTCGGGCTGTAGGTCCCGGTCGTGTAAAAATTGACGAGAAAGAAGGAAAGAGGAGGGGACATACAATGTGTTTAATGATTGGTCTTAACCACGGAACCATGGTGTCGAGCATAGTCCGAAGATTCATCCTGCTGCGAGACCTGAAGAGGAGTGAAAACGCTTGATTGAGCTCATTCTTCTCGGAGTCACTAGCGGCGAGGGCGTTAAACTTGTAGTTGAAGCCTAGTCTTATGCGTGAGTTTCAGAATGCTTGCAAGTGGGAGTGAAGACTCCATACCTGCGAGCCCAATCACGTCCAGAGTCATCCTACTCAACCACGAGAGCACATCAATTCTATTATTTTCATCCTTCTGACTTTCTGTCAGCCATATGTCTCGCAATTCGATAGACTTCTCGATGAATATCTCGGTCAGTTCTCTTGTCTGCGCAGGTCCAAACGCGGGATTCTAGAAGCGACCTGCAATGAGCATGTCTATCGACGAAGACCCTGAGGCGTACCATAATCCTCCTCTGGAAAGAAATTCAGTATGTCTGGTGCCGATAACAACGAGAGGACAATGGAACATACCTGCTGCCTATGCTTCTCGCCTTCAACAACCAAAATACCGTTTCCCAAAAGCCAGCTGAGGTGATAACGCGCAGGCTCCGGCTTCTGGTAGATCATGCTGTTCATGAGAATGTGACTGAGCGCTTTCGGGTCTGTGGTGTATAGACGGTTCACCTATACCACAAGTGAGTAACTCACTCCGAAGCGAGCACACCATATGAAGAAACTCACTCCCAAGAACGCCTTGAACTTGAAGGTAGCACCGTACTTCTTGGTCCACCTTTCATATAGCTCTTCCTGAACATATATTTTGACTTAGTTTGAATCTGAAATGCGCTATGAGTTTACTCACAGAGTCTGATAGCTCCTTTATATTGCCGTAGATTAGACTCTTGTTTGGAGGACCGGAAAGGGCATGAAGAGGCGAGGTCCATTCTGCGTAGAGAAACCGGAAGATCTTGAATACAATGTATGCGACTGCAGTCGCGAGGAAGGAAACCAAGAGCTCTTTCACAGCCATTGTGGTGGTGATTGTTCTACAGAGGATCGAAGAGACTGAAGGTCATCCGCAGTGGTCGGCACCTTTGAGACTATTTCCGAGTTCTCTCCTAGAGATGCTGAACAGTGGCAGCTGTCTGTTAGTGAAGGAGTCAAACCTGCGCCGCAGCAAGCATCGACATGGACAACAATCGATTAATCAGCCAGCGTTCATTGGTGCAATGATATTATACTTACGGGAGAATCATGATGTCCAGGGATTATTCGAATCCAGAATCTGGGTCTGCAGCACAGTTTCGGGGTGCTCGGTAGTGTGAATCTCGGCACCATTTGATGGCCGAGGCCGATGAGGCGGTGTGGCGCGGCGAAGGTCCGGAAGCAATTCGACTAATTCGGTAAACGCGCCACGCCTCGTGTTGTTCCTGGACGACGAAGGACATGCAATGCGGTGCTGGATAGCTTGCCTGTTCACTCAATTAACCAACTGCCTTAGCTATGAAATGCTCCTCGAAGAACATGTTCCTTCAATGATCGCGCGGAACCGTATCTGCGAGTCGGACTGCGACACTCCTAATTCGCGACGTTAACACTCCAGGATGCACTAACGCACTTAGTGTTGTGCAGGATGAGGCGCATACTATGGGGAGGTGGAGAGGTTGGAGAGCTGCTAGGCAATGCCAACATTGACATACGCAGTGAAAGCAAGCTCCAGCACAAGCCTCCCTTGAAGCTCGACGGTGCTTTCTAGGAAGACAGGAAGTGTAAGCATGGTTTTTGAAACACTAGATTCATATCGAAAGCGAGATGAAGTTAGAGTCTTGCTCGGAGTTGAGTGTGTCACGTTTCGCAAACCAGGAACTCCCGCTGGTGATTGACTAGGCCAAGAGGCCTTGAGAGAGATCTTTCCGAATGAAGTAGATGATCTCATAAGAAGCGGGCAGCTTCCAAGATAAGGGATGACTACTTGGGGACCGGTGGTGTCGGCGAAACTTGAAAGAAAGTGAAAAAGGACAAGAGTCCATATGTTCCAGATCGGCCACAAGCGCCTCCGGAAGTGTGTTAGATTGCTTTAACTCTATCGGACCTGAGGTAGAGCAGCAACTCGCTGTCAAGCATCGGGACGAGAACTGTATCGGGGCGCACGGTTCTTGCAATGAATTGTTGATACACTATGGCTGCAGCTGCGGCTCGATGGTGACTTTGGGAAAAAAATCGGTGTCGAGCACGAGTCAACAACAAAAGCGAAGTTGTCCAAGACCCTCACGTTGTTTAGTAGTCCTTCCACTGATGCCAAGTACTTCCTACTGCGCAACTCAGAAACCGCACGACTGCCTGCCTGCTTGGTGGGGCTGTGTTTTTGCAACTATAAGATGCACAGACCCTTTACAAGGTTAGGCATATTCGATGGCATCTGAGGCTTTGGATGGCGTTCTTGGTACGGGCGGGGTCCCTACCCAGGCTCAGGATTTAGCTCCGTGAGTGTTCCCAGGTTGTTTGCATCCCAACCGTTGACCGTCGATATAGGTGCATTATATTCACGATAGCATACGCCTGCCTAATCCCTCATGCGACACTTCGACTGGCGAATAAGGCGTCCCGCTCCACTCTGCTCATCGGGCCGGCCATATTTATTCCCGTTCGGATAGTGACGTTCATCTTGAGAGCTGTGCAGGCGACTGGAAAGTAAGTGCCACTGCCAGATGCTTTTTCAAAACCTCATAATACCCTAGCGACTCACTTGCCGTTTTCATTGTCATTCAAATATTTCTAATAGCTGGATTCGCGATTATATGCGACCCCATCGTGGCGTTGTTCGAATACCACATCACACGAACGCATGCCAATCCTAATGAAGGCTTATGGACCCAGCGAGCGATTCGAATACTCAGGCTTTCACTTTGGGTAAGCCTCGTACCCTAACCCTCAGATCCATGGGCATACTTACACCTATCCAGGCCACATTCATACTTGCCATCGTTTCTGGTGCCAGAACTAGCGGCGCAGTATCCGACCCAGAAAAAGCCGAATACCTACACAAGCTGCGTAATGTCAATGGCGGAATGTGCTTAGCAATTGTCCTCTCCATTATTTTCGTCACTCTCATCGCCCATGTCCACAAGAACCTCCCTAACCGAGCAACCGCTTTGCTCGTATTTCTGGCCGGGTGTCTTCTCGTGACGGCCTCATATCGCATGTCGACGATTCATCATTCGTTCCCTCCATTTGCAATCAAGACGAAAGTCGCGTTTTATGTGCTGTTGGTGTTGCCAGAGTGGCTAGCGACTGGGGCATTGTTTTTGTTTCCTATCAGGGAGATGTTTGCGGAAGATTTCGCCAAGCAGAAGAGACGAGATTGGAACAAAGAAGAACATATCCCGCTGGAAGGGGGTGATTCAAGTTCCAGGTCAGCTTAGTACAGCGGACGAGAACCGCATATGCGGCCGGCCCGGACCATCTGATGGCGACCAGCCTTGTCGTTCCCCACCCACTCTCAACGCGCAGAGGGGCACCCCGAGGAAATCTAGGCATATAAACAATTTATTCGTATAAATTATATGTATAAATGCTCATAATAATCGTAAATCTCGTCCCAAGAGGTGCGCCTCACTTTTTGGGGTCTCCTTACTAAGTGCCGAGATTCAAGGTTGAAGGGAACAGGGTATGGTGACTGGATTGATCCGCAGGAAAACGCGCAGAAGAGCAAGGAAAATGAGAATGTATTTATTGGACTTAATGTTCAGTGATGAATTTACATCTACCCCAGAAATGTTTTTCCATCGTACATGGTGATGTGCCAACGGCGGTGCTCAAATGGGACGAGGACGTAATATGCCGCTAGCTAGCGCTATAGGATTGTAAACTTCTCCTGGGGCCTCGTTGTAGTAGTCTAGATTGGGCAAGGAAAGGTGGAGCCGGACGATATTTTAGCGCTTAACGAGGTGACAGTCGCGACAGGGCGAAGGATGTGAACAAAGAAATACCGGCGCCTCTGAGATACGATATAATCGACCAGAACGAAGGATTTTAGAGCAAGTCCGAAGTAGCTCCCTCGAAATCAAGGTAAAAGAATAAGGAAGATAAGGCGGCTACGCTGGAGATCCTAATTTGGCTAGGGTGGCGCGTCGAGCATGAGTCACAGGCAGCCCTGGCATTCTGACAGAGGGTGTAGGTCGGTGTATGGGATGGTGTGAATCCACGCCAGTCATGGCAACAGCTGAGGGAACTCCCGGGAACACGATTATCGAAATAATGGCAACTGAAACGAGTGATCGATTGAGTCGGGGGTGGGAGTTGAGAAAGCGTGTCCGCAAGCGGTTAGGTTCAATGATTTTGCATAAGCGCCGAGAAATGTGCCCGAAGGACACGTCGAAGAAATCCCGTCAGACTGAAAAACATTGGTTTTAGTAGGTAGATCTGCAATATGAATATGCGATCCGAACAGACTCTTACGTTAGCGCTGGGAGAAAAGGACGCATTTCTGCGACTCGTCTTTCAGGTTGGAATACCCCTCAGCGAACCCTGTAAACCAATGCTCTACGCCGAGATCGTTCTCGAGGACGACATCCTCTGCGAGTTAACCCCACAGATGTTCGGTGTGTTATCTTTGATTATTACAGCGCCCAGCTTGTCCAGTTTCCCTGCTCTTTCCCTGCAAATCCTCCTGACAGGGACAGCAACATTCCGTGACGTTTTCACGAAATTCAGTCGCACTGGCCTGCAGTTCCCAGCTCTTTTTTCAACACTCCGCGGGTTGAATATCTAAAATCTGAGGATACAAGGAGAGCTTTATGACACAGCGCGAAAGGATGTGTCTGTTTTATTACGATTTCTCACTTGGAGGCGCAACGTTGGCGTTTCTATTCGATTGTTTAATCTAACCATGTGTACTGAAGAGAAGTTGGGAAGCTCCGGATGATGGTGAACTTCAACTTGTGATTTGGAAGGAGAACGGTGGTACATTTGCAGGAGTGGCCATCCCGAAATGCTTGATTTTGATTTACCGCCTTGGTTGTTGGAAGGACCAGAGTAACGGAATCATCATTTTATCTTCATCCAGTGGCATTAGCATGGGGTTCGCTGACTCCGAAGAGGACGCGAGGCAGGATCTCTTCGCAAGGACCTAAGAACAAGAAATCAGCGTATTCGTCGCCCTCGGTATGCTGGACGTTGAACGCGGCGACTGTGCCCCTACGTTTCGAAATCTCGTATGCGTATCCAGCCGCCGGGTACACCTATCCGAAAGAAGTTTCAAGCCATAAGTATATACATACCCTGAACCCACCGTGGACGAAGTCCCAACGATGAGCGCGAGATCAGCGTCGTCGACGATTCTCAGCAGATTTCCGGGAGGTGATGAGGGATCTCGTCAAACCAAACTACGCCGGGACGGAGGAGGCCATCACATTTTCGGCAGCGGGGCGGGTCTTCCAGCGGGATGTCTCTTTTGAGCCCTGGTCGAAATGGTTCCTTGCAGTGCGGGGCAGATTGGGCTGGTGCAGTTGTGCTCCCGGTCCCCACATACGGTGCAGACCGTGTCAAACAGGCGTTCGTGCATTTCGAAGATCTCAAGTTCGAGAGAAGGACGGGCTTTCCGAAAGGCTTCGACGCTCAGGTCGTCTACATTCTGTGTAATCAGAGTAAATCTGGCCGATGGCGTTCGGAACTGCTTTCAATGCTCTTTTTTCCCTTCATCAGAAAGGAAGACATGGATCGAGGATTGAGCCCACTTTTCTCTCCGATAATGATAGAACTGCCACACCCGGCTTGATCGATTCTCCTCGAAAGCTCGTGGGGTGGCCAATTTCGAGGATGAAAGAATGTAAATAATAGTCGACGGGCGAGAATAAGGGGCTCTTCTAGTGCAACTGAGAGGAGGTGCCTGGAGGTGTGCCTCATCTCCACTAGCGATCACAAAATTCTTGTCGAGCTTCAAGGACGCCAGTGAAGATGACGGATTTCGGGCGAGTGTCAAACGGAATGTCATAGATGCAAATAACGACAAACTTGTCGGCAAATCGTCACTTCGCAGCAAACCCTGCCTATGGAATCCTCGGCGTCACGGTTTCCTTGCCCTTTGGCCTTCTGGCAGCCACCTCCCCGACATGACCATCCTCGATGGCAACGCCAAACCCTCCAACTCTCGGCCCAGATTACCCCCATCATGACCCTTTCCTCTATCGGTCTTGCGCTTTGCGTGCACGGTGCGTCGAAGAGAGTCTCCTTCCTTCTGCTTCGTTCCGCTGGCGCCGTTTCAGTTACATTCCCATCGTCCGGATTATTGGATATCGATACGCCTCAGCCAGCTGAGTGTAGCACACCCGCCGCCAGGGCTGCTGTGGTGTTGACCAACAACTACCCCGCTGAGGAGCTCTGCAGATTGGCAGCGTCCATGGGGGTTCCTCTTCTCTTGTCCTATCAATGTGCCTCGGGTATTTGCAGCATTACCGCCTTCTACGATATTTTGGCTGTACAGCGATCCGAAGTCGGTTGGTTTTTGATCCATGTCCATCGTGCGCTCGACAAAATCTGCCCTGGAAAACCTGCCTTCAATGGCGTCCTAGATAGTGAGTGGCGTCATTTCCTCCCGCGCGAGACACATAAGCTCACCTCGTACTCCTTTCCCCGCAGATGCAGTTGAATACGAAGCCTCTGAAAATTTGCTCATCAGCTCCGCTGAAAAGCAGCTCTTCAGCGATCTTGAGCGTTTCTCTCGAAAGGTTCCTGACCTCTTGGACTTTCCTCCATATTCAAATATTTTGCACCATTCGTTGGTCAACACCGTCAAGTCTACTCCACTGTCCGTTGCATTCTGTTGTTCAGGAGAAACCACGACAGATATGACTTATGAAGCGCTCTATGCCGCCGCCTATCACTTGGGTATCAGGCTGCAACACTCTGGTGTTAGACCGTGCCACATCGTTCCAATTGTTGCAACCTCCGTACTGCAGGTTGCGGTCTCAATGCTTGCTGTTCTTCTCATCGGGGCAGCCTATACCATTACCAACTCACATGATTTGGACAATATGTACATTTTATTGGCTCTTGGGGAGGCCCGTTCTCCTGTCGTTGTTGGAACAAGGAAAGCAACGACGCTTCTCGACAACGGTTTTCGTATCATCGACCCTCGGTCATCGCTTCGCAAGAACACTTTGGATGACGTCCACGACAAACCCCTCACGGCCTTTCCCACTGTAGAACCTGGAAATAGGGCCTACGTTTTCTTTCGAGCAGGCAAATCTCACCTCTCTGCTGTTCAAATCACGCACGCCCAGTCAACGGAACTTTTACGGACGACCTTCGGTTGCTTCAAGGTCACGAGAACTAGTTGCGTTTGGATGAAGCCACAGTCCCCATGTCTGATAGTCAATGACATGCTATGGAATACTTTCGCTGTATGGCCTCTCCCTATTGATCTATATGTTCTCACCTCTGACTACCACTCAGCACGGTGGCACAATATGCGTTCTCGACCATGGAACTCTACCAATCATTCAATCATCACACTGCCACCACTCCCACATAGTCCTAGAATCAGATCCTGCCACGTTGGCTTCACTTCTCCAGTCGCATCGCAGTGTTCGAGCGAACTCGACGAGTTTTGAGATGCCTCTTGTGGTTACGACTGACTCTTTGCTCGTCTCTCCGCTGAATCTCAGCGCAGAAGATGTCATAGAGGTAAGAAAAAATCTATTTGATACAGAGATGCAATATTAAGAGGTCTACAGTATTCCGAGAGGGATATGCTCATGAGGTATATTCCGCCCGTCCTATTCACTTTGCTATTGCTGTTGTTGATTATCAATGCCAGGCTCCAGCCGAAGGAAGAGAAGGTATCCATTGATACATTGTATAAATCAGAAAACACCCTCCTCGACGGACTTGGAGTGCTCTCCTTACTCCATATGGGCACTGTAATCCACCGAATTGGCTCAATTGTGGTGAAGATAGGAAACAACCTCGCAGTAAAGTATGGAGCGTGCTTACGTCCGGTCGAAGCAGCCAGCATGATTTTCGTGAGGGAAAACACTCGTATTTCCGTCCCGGCCGTCCATCTTGTCTTCCGCCACGAGAAGATCACGTACATAGTGATGGACTACATCCCAGGACAGTGCTTGGACAAGGTCTGGGATGGCCTGCACGACTTCTCGCGTTCATCCGTGCTTTCCCAGCTGGCACTCTACATGCAGCAATTGCGCGATCTCAAATGCCCGTCTTTGAAGCCCGGGCCCCTGGACAACTCTCGCTGTCGTGGACCCTGGTTCACGTCCTACGACACAGGCCCGTTCGACTCTCACCCAGCTCTGGTCGCCTGGCTTAATCACAAGCACAAGGAATCTGGAAGATCCGGCGCAGATTTCGATGACAGCTACGACCTTGTTTTCACCCACCAAGACCTCGCGCCCCGCAACGCGATT